GGCCCCTGTCCCTTCCGAGGGGACTCCAGTCCTTGGTCCTTGTGTGCTCACTGTTGCCCCATGCCCGCAGCACCCCACAGACGTGGATTATCGCGTGATGGCCACTTTCACCGAGTTTTACACCACCTTGCTGGGCTTCGTCAACTTTCGCCTCTACCACTCCCTCAACCTGCTCTACCCTCCCAAGGTGAGGCCACCACCCGCCGACCCCAGCCTGGTGGGACCACCCAGAGTGGGCAGTGAGAAGCGAGACTGTGTTGGAGGGTCGGGGTGGCAGACGTGGAGGATATCTGGGGACTCCGTGTGTTTGGGAGCTGCCTCCCCACCTTGCTGTTTCTCCCCAGATCGATGGCCAGGCTGATGCTGAGCTGAAGCCCATGGAGGGCAAGGAGTACGCCATGGATTCGGAGAGCTACTTGGAGGTAAGGGATGTTGCCGTGGTCCGTGGGACCCTGTGTCGTCTTTGATGTCCTGGTGTGTCTCTTGCTCTGAGAATTTTCCCTCCTCTGTGAGGCTGCCCCTTTCTCCCATCTCCAAAGCACCGGCTGGCTGGGACGCCTTCCCCGTCTCCTCCCGCTACAGAAACTGTCAGCTCTGAGTGCCAGCCTGGCACGAGTTGTGGCACCGACCCACGAGGACGAGGTGGAGATGGATGAGTTCCCAGTGGAGGGGGTAAGAGCCTGGCTTTGGGTGATTCTCTTTTCGGCGTGTCTTGTGGCTGAGCCAAAGCTGGGAGGGACTGGCAGAAGGATGGGGACAACATCCAAGAGCCCTCCTGGCAGGGAGGAGCTTGGTGAGGGCTCATCTTGGGGAGGAGGCTGAATGCTTTGCTCCGAGCAGGAGACAGCGGAGCAGATGGACGTACGGAAGAAGGAGCAGGAGGCCCTGGAGAAGCACAAGAAGCTGTTTGAAGGGCTGCGCTTCTTCCTCAACAGGGAGGTGCCTCGAGAGCCGCTGGCCTTCGTCATCCGGTACGCGGTGGGCAAGCTGTCCCTCGGCAGCCATGCCACATCGTCCTTGCCTCCCCTGCCCTCTCGATCGGGACTTTTGAGGCCAATCTGCCTGATGTCCCGTGGGTGAGCTGACCCTTAGGGGCTTGAGTTTCCTTCCTGACTCCTCGGTGGGTTTTGCTGGCAGATGTTTCGGTGGCCAGGTCTCCTGGGACAAGTCCCTGTGCATCGGTGCCACCTACGATGTGAGCGACCCTTCCATCACCCACCAGATCGTTGACCGGCCCCAGGTGGAGAAGCAGGTTGTCGGCAGGTGAGTGAGGTGGGTGGCCCTGGCTGTGATGGAGCTGTCTCACGACCTCCAGAGCTGGACGTTCGAGGAAAAGAGTCGGAGCTCACGGCCCTCTGCCCCACAGGTACTACCTGCAGCCTCAGTGGGTCTTTGACTCGGTCAATGCCAAGCTGTGTCTCCCTGTGGCCGAGTACTTCCCCGGCGTGCTGCTGCCCCCACACCTCTCGCCCTTCGTGACGGAGCAGGAAGGAGACTACGTGCCCCCCGAGAAGCTGAAGCTGCTGGCCATGCAGAGGGGCGAGAACCCAGGTGATGTGAGGCTCCAAGGGTGGAGG